AGCTCATTGCCGAAAATTGAAGTTTTATTATTTTTAATATCCTACGAAGATATTAACTATAAAAATAAGAATGGTCAAAAAAAATCTGATTGGGCCAGGTTTTATATATCGAAACTATTACTCAATTGTTTGTAATGTTTTACAAAAGTCAGACACGCATTATTAATAAACGTGACAGAAAAAAAAAACAAGGTTGACATTATCTTAATCTTTGCAATTATAGAAATTCAAAATAAAAAGTAAATATTTTTTTAATGATACAATCTTCTTATAGAAAATTTAGTCACGTGACTTTTTATTGCGGAAAAAAAACATAGTTTGTTTTCCAAAAAATGCATGAAACGATTTTAGGTAGGTGTCGAAAAATGAAAACCCACCCATAAAAACATGTTTTGGTATCGTTTTTTTCAGAAAAGAATGTAGAACATTTATTTAAGTGAAGACGACATTCTACTTTTGAATTGAAAAAGTTATTTACATTTAAATGATTCAACTTTGTTAAAATACCAAATAAATTTTTTTTTCTAATGGTTAATTAGGGTGGGTTTTTTGTTTTTCAACTGGTGATTTGTAAAATTGCCCCCGTTATACTAACGTTAAAGATGCGTTTGACTATTTTTTTATGTGGAAAAAAAATGTGCACGTAGATGGTCTTTACTTGTATAAAAATATAGATATAGAATAATTAGGGCGATATATCTAGTTTTTATTGTTGTATAGGTTTTTTTATTAACTATATTTAAAAGAACGATTACTAAAATAATTTTTTTTCAGTTTTATAGTATTATTATTTACTTACTGAAAAGTAATAATAATAATAATAATTGTTATTATTATGATGATGTTGATGATGATGATGACGATCAGCCTGTATATTTAAAATCATTGTAAAAATAGTACATAACACTTTATGTCTTTTTTTTAAAACATCCTTTTTCTTTTAAAAGCTTCACGACTTGATTCTTGAATCCTTTAATGTCAAGAGATTTAAATTCATTTGGCAATTTGTTGTAAAACTTTATCCCATTGCAAAAGATAGACTTTAGTCTGCTTTCCTTGTTCTGGTTTTTAAGTGATAATTATTTGCATTTCTTATAAAATAATCTTGTACTTCATTGTTTTCAATACAAAATCCTTGAAACTTTCAATGATTGTCTTTCAATGAAAGACACTCATTTTTATTTGCATTCACTCCCAACAAGGCTGCAAGCAACCACTATTAAGTTGTGAGTTACTAGGAAAAAAAAAGAACAGAGTTATAGAGCAAGGAAACGGTTGACAGAAGACTTGAAAAGTTGAAGGTTGTATGAGTCAGGAAAACATGAAGATGGGAGAGAGTTAGCAGACTAAAGGATTAAAGTGCGGGGAAAAAAACTAGATAAATAAAAGTTTTTAGAGCATGCAGGGACAGATACAGTAAACGAATGAGACTTAGCTGAATGACGAGTAAAACGGGAATGAATTTTAGTTGATGGAACTAAAGATGATAACTCCTTTGAGCAGTAACCATGATAGTATTTGTAGAAAAGAGAAAGAGATGCAACTTTACGACGATGGGAAAGAGGTTCAAGCTTAGCAGAAAGTCCAGGTCCAACAACATTTACAATGCGATTTTGGACCTTGTCAAGAAGAGAAATTAAATCGTTAGAAGAATCAGCCCAAATATGACAACAGTATTCCATACAGGGACGAATAAGAGATTTGTAGAGGTAGAGAATGGAATCAGAAGTAAGGAAATGGCGAGCACAATAAAGAGAAGCAACCTTAGCAGAAGCTAATTTAGCAATCGATTGTATATATGGTTTCCATGAGAGGTCAGTATTTAGCGATAATCCAAGAAGACGTAAAGAGGACGACTCAGTAAGAGGATTGCCATTCATTAATATAGGAATGTTGACCATATTACGGTAGTTGTTTGCAGTAAGCAACTGGGTTTTTTTAAAGTTGAAATTCACAAGCCACTGTAAACCCCAATCTATCACTGAAGTGAGATCGGATTCAAGATCAGCTGCTTGTTCTAGGCGATCGAAAAGAGAAGACTTTTTGTCAAGACAGGAGTATAAAGTTGAGTAATCAGCAAAAAGAGCTACTTTAGATGAAAGGTTGTCAGGAAGATCGTTTATGTAGATAAAAAACAAAAAAGGGCCCAGGATGGAACCTTGGGGAACCCCAGAAGTTACTGGAAATAAAGAAGAGTGTTGGCCTTCAAGGATGACTTTAATAAACCGGTTAGAAAGAAATGATTTGATAATCTCAAAAACTTTCCCAGAAACACCATATGAAGCAAGCTTATGGAGAAGACCAGCATGCCAAACTTTGTCGAAAGCTTTAGATATGTCGAGAGCAATAGCCCTAGCCTCACCGCCTCCATCTAATGCACGATAAAATCTTTCAGTTACAGCAGTTAGCAAGTCGGCCGTAGAGCGAGAGGATTAAAAACCGTATTGATTGTCTGACAGTAGTTTATTTGACTCAAGATGAGATGTGAGGAATTTGTTGATCAAAGACTCAAAGACCTTGCTAATAACAGAAAGAAGACTGATCGGACGATAATTGGAGGGGTCAGAATTTTCTCCAGAGTTTTTGAATATTGGAACCACAGATGCCATTTTCCAACAAGCACGAAAACAAGACTCAGTCAAACACTTGTTAAATAGTTTAGAGAGAATTGAAGAAAGTTCTGGAGAACAATTCTGCAAGACTGTGACAGGAATGTTGTCTGGACCACAAGCTGTAGACGAGTTTAATTGAGACTTTAGCAACAGAAGCCGGAGTGATTTGAATGTCAAATGCAAATAGTTCTGCCTTATCCTTGGGAGAGGTAATAAGATCAGTCCCATGAATGAGAGATGGAATGTTAGATCTACCCTTGTTAATTTTTATTGTTTTGATATATAAACAACTAAACTGTTATTTAATTTTGAAAATTAGAATGTAATTGTATTACATAATTTATAAATTCAAAACTGTTAATGTAATTAACTGTTTTAAATTTATATATTTATTTGGCTTGACTTCTGGAAAATTGTATATTTATTTAAATAAAATGTTTAATAAAGAAATTTATTATTGGATTTTATACATTGAAAGATATCTCATACAATGCTGTATATTTTATGTTTTGTTTAATGTTCAACTGCTTTGCAGTAAAAAATCATTAGCTATAAAGATAAATCAACTAGTTGATAACATCAGAAAGTTAAAGAAGCATTGCAAAAGTAGCAAGTTGGAATTGTAATTTTAAAAACCAAATGCAAATATTCAAACTTTCTAGGCTTCGACAATTTGGTCTCAAAATCAAACATAAAAATGATTAAATAGTAAAACTGATGAAGTAAGTAAAGAATTACTTGATTGTTCAAAAACCAATGATTAAAAACAAATATGGTTAAAAAAAAAGCAGTTCTCAAAAAGGATAAAGCTATGTGTCTTAAGCAAAGTATAAAGAAAATAATAGAGAAAAAATTTAACTATACAAAAAAAAATAAGTTTTTAATAACTTAATGATAAATATAAATATAAAAGCATGGATTTCATTGGAAAAAGCTGTAGATAAGTTTGTAATATAGAAGAATCTTAAAAATTTAAAGTACTTCTTGCTCAACTTAATTTTTATTTTGTCATCCCCGGTATGGAATGTGAAAAAAAAAACTTTTTTTAAAACAAAGTTAGAAGATCCAAAAGAAGAAATTCGGCTTCTTACTACTGTCTTTTAAGCAAATTTAATGCCAAACAATCTTTATGTAATTTGAGTAATAACTTTAAACCTATTTACGTTATGTGGCTAATAAAAACAAAACAAAAAAAGAACTGATGGTAAAAATTCAGGATACAAGACTAAACAAATTAATAAAAAAACAAAAAAAAACCTTATCAAAATTTTTAATAATCCATCTGATTTTGTAGGTTTTATTTTCAACATTGTTAGCAAAAATAATTCTCTTAAGTATCTTTGGAATGTGCACAAATAGTACAAACTGATCAAACAAGTGGAAACGAACCACATTCGTACATGTTAAGTATGATAATGAACCTGGTTAACTACGATCATTTCTTTCATTAATTGATTTTGAAAAAAGTAATCATATTCTTTGTAGTGAGGATCGTGAGGTTTTTTTTATTAATATAATTTTATGTTATAATTTAAACTTAAATTATTTCCTTTATTAGTAAAATCAATAAAAATATGTTTTAATAATCTATTTTTACTCCAATTGAGTGATATTATCTTTTTCGATGGTATTAATTATATTTTATGTGTTTACATGTACCCATTTTGTTTAATTTAAGGGTATTTTTATATTTTTTATCTTTATGGGTTATACTAAACTACATGTTATTATAGATATAAAAAAAAGTTAAAATATAAAAAGAAAAGAATATGTATAATAAAATTAAAAGAAGAAAATATTTCATTTATTGTTTATTTTGTTGACTAATTTTTTTACTTATTGGTTATAAACATATTTCAAGTTATATATATATATATATATATATATATATATATATATATATATATATATATATATATATATATATATATATATATATATATATATATATATATATATATATGTATATATATATATATATATATATATATATATATATATATATATATATATATATATATATATATATATATTGCCGACAACTTTTTTTTTATGTTAAAACAAATTTTAGATAATATGTTATCTATAGGTATTTTGATGTTTGGATCTGAGTTTTTTACTTAATAATGCATTGAAAAAAAATTCAAATAAAAATTAGTTCAATTTAGTTTTTTTGAATATTTTTGTTTCAAATAACATTTTAAATATTTAAACATTAATTGTTTTATTGTTTAAAATCTTCAAAAATTTTAAAAACATATTTTACTGTTAATTGATCAGTTAATGGTCAATGTTTGCAAAACACCGAAAAAAATTATATTAACAAATTGTTAAAATAATATAGATTCATAATCTTATTTCTGAACGAATTTTAGAAAAAATTTGTTATTGCAGATAAATTTTACGCGCAAAAAAAAAAAAAAAAAAAAAATTTAATTTTTGGTGCCAAAAAATTAACGCGATACTTTATAAAAATATTTCTTCAAAAGTCCGATTATTGAAAATATTAAAACATCCATATCTTTGGAACTAAATAAGCTAAAGATGTGGTTGAAACCATTTCGGAAATGAAATATCTTAAGGAATGCAATATATTTAACATAAACAAAATTTATGTTGGCAATAAAAATAGCCTAAACACCCTATTTCTTACTAACTTGATAATTTGTTTTTTAACTTAATATTATTTAAATGACAATGGTGCTTAGATAACTTATTGAAATGAAGACTACAATCAAAATCACGAATGGGATTTTAAATATCATTAAAAATAACTTACTGAAATAATGAAGTTGGTTTAATTTTGTAAACATCGTTAGCCCAAGGACCTCCTTTTCCATCTCCTTTACAATCGCAAGAATCTCCATATTTTTTGTATGCAACACCATTGCCAGCTGCACACCACCCACCATCTTGTACTGCAAAGTACTCAAAATTGAGCTGCTTCGCTGCTGTGTAACATTTTTCAATTGCTTCTGCGCGATTCTTATAAAAACCATCTAAAATAGTTACTAAACCTTCTAAAGTTGCAATAGCTCTGTCAGCAGAATCTTTCCAGCAGCCAACATGACTATGTTAAAAAGAAAAACTTGTTAAAATGTAAACACCGTGCACTATTAATACTAAAAATATTCTCAAATTTTATTTCAATAACCAAAATAACAATACATAAAGTATATACTAACTTAAACGGTAAATTCTCAGTAATTTTATATACTTGATTTGCCCAAGGACCTCCCTTTCCGTCTTCTTTACAGTCGTTTGATGATCCATATTTTTTGTAAGATTCTCCGTTATTAGCTGCGCACCAACCACCATCCTGAATTGCAAATATGGCAAACCCTCGTTGTTTAGAAACTTCATAACATTTTTTAATAGCATCGGCACGATTTTTGTAGGGACCATCAAGTAATGTTGTTAAACCTTCCAAAGTTGCTACTGCTCTGTCTGCCGCGTCTTTCCAACAACCAAGTTTTTCATAGTGCGCGCTTGCTGTTATAAAATGAAAAAAACCATACATCCACAGGCGCATCCACATAATGAAATTTCAAGTGCTTTAAATTTAGAAACAACTATTTCGATTAAAGAAGTTTATACATAGTTAAAAAAAAATTCTTCTCCTAGGGTTAAGCTTAACTAAATATACTCTCCTTTTTATATATTTTTGCTCAAATAAAACAGTCAAATATAAATAATAGATCCCAATTAAATTTAATGAATACTATTACATAATTTTAAATACTTTATTAGACAACTCAGACAGACTTATACCCAGATTTAGTTTTGAATTATACATAATTTTATTTGTTTTATACTTTTTCGTATTTCATTAAACACATGCGTAATCATGTTTACAAGGTAAATAAATGAAATCACATTTACACGTTTATGATAAAATTTTTTAGTTTTTTCGAAAAATTTACTTCAATTTGTTTAGTTTCATAAGAAGTTCATATACATTATTATACATTACGTAACTTTAAATTCAAATAACACTTCGAAAATAATTGTTTCCAATTATATGTAATTGGAAACAATTATTTTAAATTTCTAATTTGTTGTAATATATTGTAATAGCAGGAAACTATAATATATATAAATGAAATAACTAACTTAAACAGCAAGAATATTCCCAATTTTTTTACGTTTTTATGACGAAAAGATTCTTTAACAAAAAAGTTATTGTGATAGGAGAATAGGAACAAGAAACCCCCAAATTTTTTTTTTTTCTTAAAATCATTTTTTGTTTAATTTTATACATGTTTAAATGCAATTCATCTTAAGCTACTATAAAGTTTTAAACTTCTACTATATTTTAAAAACTGTCAATTAAGCACAACATAAAATGTCATAAAAAACAATAAAAACAATGCAACATGTAATTATAAAACAATTAGTGAATTGAAAGGTAGAAGAAGAAATTAAAGATTTATGTATGTATGTAGCCAAAGAGAGTTAAAGAATCAGAGTCATTTTTCTTTAACTTGATTTCAAATCTATTGGGCGAAGAAACTAATATAAAAAAATATTTATCGTAATATGTGACAAATCAGTTTTAGTTGGCATGGAGATATTTAAGTGTAGGTGAGCATTTGTCTTTCTGATAGTGCTCAATCATTCGTGTCTTGAGGTGTCTTGGTTTCTCAAGTATAGTAAGAATTACATTTTGAGTAAAAATAGTTCTTGCTGTGGTGGTCACTCGTCCAAAAGTTTTTGAAGAAGTTTCTCATTATTAACGATAATACTTATTCATCGCTGAACTCGAATTTGAAAACCATTTTTTTATATAAAATTTGTTTTTACAGAATTAAAACGATTCATTTAACTGGGTAAATCTGATCTTTCTAGCAATATCCATAGCAACCAGTTTTTAATAAAAAATGCTAGCCTTTATTTCTCTATTATCTAACAAATATTTTTTTAAAATGCCTAAATCATGGAAGTCAAACCAAGTACTCAAAGTAAAAAATCCTTTAGATTTATTGGAAATTAATGTACTAAAAATGTACCAAACGATTTATGTTATCAGAAAATCTTTCTTGTTACACTATGTTAGATCTATGTATACCATCAAATAAAACATTGAGAAAATTGAGACACTTTAGAATGATAAAAATAAAACTGTTAGTTTTAGCATTGTTCACGTTGAAATTTTATCTGGTGTAATTAATAAACTACTTTGCAACTACATTGCAAAAAATGTTTACTATCTGGATTAAATCTTTCAGAATGTTTTGCAAAACATTATGAAAGTCAGGGTTAGGATTAGAGTTAGTGTTTTTCTTAGCAAATTTGTTAAGAAAAAAGGATTTAATTTTAAATACTTTCTGCTCTAACTGCAAAAAAAAAAAAAAAAAAACTCATGTTCTGAGAAATTAAAAATGATGTAATTAATACTTAAATAAAAATAGTGAAATTTACCGTTAAGTTTTAAATCTGAAATGGTAAATTTTCGTTTGAAAAAAATAAACTCTTTTAAAGATGATTTTAAGAAAGCTTTTATCATGCTAAGCTTCTTTTAATTGAAATGAAAATATTTAGCAAATATTTCAATATCTTTAATGTAATCTATTTTATTTTATTTTTTATTTTATTTTTAAATGTTAGACTCATACATCTCCGATTTTTTTTCACAATTTGTATTTATTCAAAGTTTAAAATGAATACAACTTGCGTAATGAAAGTTTTATTCTAAGTTTTAAAACTAATTTTGCAAAATTTTGTATTTCATTTAGAGGAGCATTTTTATTGAAGTAAAAAGTTTTTAAACTTTTTGATTTTTCTCAAGAACTTTTCTTATTTAGAGTTGAAAAATATAGTTTTCTCAATTAAAAATATTCATATATTGAATACAAGTCATATATATATTCATATATTCGATACTCGCCGTTTCTAAAACGCGACATTAAAACATTAGAAAAAGTGCAGAAGCGTGCGAAAAATATGGTTGCACTATTAAAGAATTTACCATACGCCCAAAGATTGCAAATATTAGGATTAACGACTCTAGAAGACCGCAGAACACGGGGCGACCTAATTCAGCAATTCAAAATCACTCGAAACATTGACGAGATCTTTTTTTCTGTGCCACAGACGCAATACTTAGCTAGACTGAATTACAACCTTCTAAGTCACAATCAGTGCCTTGATAAACAAAAAGTAAATCATTGAACTGAAAGAGAACACTTTTTTATAAATCGAGTTGTACGTCACTGGGACGCTCTCCCGCAAAAGACTATTGATTTTTGCGCAAAGAGTCAACTGCTTTAAAAACTTTTTTATCTAACTATAGCTGCTTTGTATGTAGCACAAGAATGTCAGAACAAAGGAGCCTGGTGCTGATGTCAGTTTGTGGCAAAAAAAATTTTTGATCATAAGTTTCTTCATGCATTTACATTAAATTTTCTGATTATCTTCAACTATCGTGCATTCTTATAGTGCATATAACTTCACAGAAGCACAAGTATAACATTTCGAAGGTAAGATTTGTTTTAATTTAATAAACGATAATAAATAGTTAATTATGACTGCTGTGGTACATAAAAGTCAAAGTTTATTATTACTTTTAAAGATTAATAACTTATCATATTTGAACATAGTATATATAATTATGGTAAGCCATATATCTTTCAACATAATAATAATTTTTGTCGTCCTTTGTTACCCACGGCTAATTTAAGGTGGACATACGGCTTCTTGTTATTATTTTTTTTTAATTATAAACTTAAATGTTATAACTTTTATTACTAAAATTTATTACTAAAAATATTATAACTTTTTAAATATTCCAGATAATTTTGTTTTTTAAAAATAATATAAACACCAATAAAATGTTTGTTTTTTTAATATTTAATAAAACAAGCAGTAAGCAACCCGTAATCAACGATATATTAAAAATAACTAGATGTCTAACTTCCGCGTATTTTTTGAAGCAAAAATCAGCCATTATGGGGGGCAAAAATGAATAGTAAATCACGGTTGTTTGGATCAATTAATATTTAATATTCAAAAATTAGAAATCATGGTTAATTCTTGTGCAGCAGCAGGTTGCACAAATAGAGCAATGAAAAACAACAACAGAGTATTTCATAAATTTCCAATTAGTAATAGCGAACTCTGTAAAAAGTGGATTGTTGCTATAAAACGTGAAACATTCCTAATGAGCACAGCTGCATTTGTAGTGATCACTTTTTACCTTTAGATTACAATATACCTGATTTTAATAACAAACCGCAATTAAAACCTTTTTCTATGCCATCTATTACTATTGATTCAAAACCAAAAGTCAAAAGAAAGTTTAGTTCTATATCGCCTCAAACAAATAAAAAGAGACTCATTTAAAAAGTTTCAGAAACAAGCAGTCACCATTACATTGATTTCTATTCGGATATAAGTGATAACAGTAATGTTGCTGCTAATATTAACACAATTTGTATTTTCACAAAAAATATTGGTAATACTTTTTGTGAAAACTTTAGTGGATTAACTTTTGATGTTATAAAAAATCAGTTTAAAAACAATACCTCACTTCCTAAAGGGCATAGGTATACTGATGAAATTAAAAAATTTGCAATAACTCTGCATTTTTACTCACCTAAAGCATAAATTTTTCTACGGCCTATACTCCATTTACCTGCTTCAAGCTCTTTAGCCAACAGGACTTCTTTAGTAGATTGTAAAACTGTTTTTTTTTGAAGATGTTTTAAGTTATATTAATATAAAAGCAGTGGCTGATATTAATTATAAAGATTGTGCATTAATTATAGATGCAATCGTAATCAAAACATCAGTTCTAAGTGATAAAAAGGCAAGACGATTCATAGGCTTTACAGGTTATGGAAAAGATATTGTCGCAATTGAACCAGATACACCAGCTACAGAAGCATTGATATTTATGCTGGTAGGATTACGAGGTCATTGGAAAACACCTATTGCCCTTATGCTGTGTAGTAAAATAACAACTGAAAACCTTTCATGTCTTATAAAAAAAGCATTAACAATTTCTTCTGATAAAAAAATTAATGTAGTAAAATTACATTTGATGGTGTAAGTGTTAACTTTAATTCTGTTGCATCACTAGGATGTACATTTGGGAAAAGACTAGAAAAAAATAATGGACAATTTACTTTTGAAGGCTATAATCACTACTTGTATGTAATCCCTGACCCAAGTCATTTGCTAAAATTAACTAGAAATGTTTTATGTGATTTAGAGCGGCTTGTAATTTTTAGAAGGATTTTTTAAAGGATTGTAATTTTTAAATAGCTCTGGATTTATTGTAAGAAGATTATTATAAGATAACATGTTCTGTGTGTGCAAACTCACACAAAACAATTTTGTGGAATATTCTTATAGAGCATCAATTCTTTCATTGATTAACATAAAAAATAGGAATGTGCTTATTGCTCCAAATAATGGTGTTATACAAACTATAATAGTATACGAAAGCGTTTTCAAAATTTATGTCAGCAATGACAATTTCAAAAAACCAAAAATGAATGTGAAGCGAAATCTTAAACTGAAAATGATTAATGCAGTTAATAAAATTATTATTTTTTTTAAAGACCTAAATGAACACGATGCTGACCATGAAGCTGTTAAGACATGCATTGCACACAACTAATAAAAATGTTAGCAAATGACTTTTTTACAATCAGACTGCAAAGATATGGCCAATTATATACAGAAAAGTTGGTCTATATATATATGTAATGATTGGTCTACGTCAACAATCAAATAAATTAATTTTATTCAAAGGTTTATAGCATAAATATATTCATATATATATATATATATATATATATATATATATATATATATATATATATATATATATATATATATATATATATATATATATATATATATATATATATATATATATATATATATATATATATGTATATATGTATATATATACATATGAAAATATTATAAATAAAAATATTAAATTAAGTTTTATTAACTGTTACTTTTCTTGATTTGTTGTTTATATTGAAAAACTTACTTTTCAAAGGAAAGATATTCTTTATATACCTGAATACCTATGGAGCTTTTTTTGTGTTGGAAACCTTACTAGATTATAACATAACATTGAATTAAATTTATTTAATTGACGGTAAATCAATTATAGAAAAAAGTAATAATGATTTTTATGATAACACGAAGTATTTAATCATAAATAAAATTCTAACATTTCTAGAAGGAACCTCTAAGTTGTGTCACACAGAACTTAGTTAATAGTCAAGACAGTTTTATAAAATGTTTCATTACAAGTTTTAACTCTGTTTACCTTGCAGTTATGTTATAAAACCTCCTAGCATTACTGCAGAGGGTAATTAATGACTAACAAGTGCATAAAATGTTAATAGATTAAAGATTAAAATCCAACTAAATCTAAGATTTTAGCTGAATGTTAAATTTTGTAATCATTCAAACTTAAATTTTAAAATAAAAAAAAATGAAGTATGATTTTTAAATGTTTAAAAAAACAATGCATGTTTACATAATTATTAAATTTTAAATCAAAATCAAAATAACATCAAATTTTTCAGATATCTGTGTATCGATTTTTTATTGATTACATTTTTAAACAATTTTAAGCTTCATTTTTGTTTTGTTTTGATTAATAACGTAAAGATTTTGCCCCCCCCCCCCCATAATGGCCGATTTTTGCTTCACTTTTTCTTACACCGATTTACGGCAGTTAGACATCTAGTTATTCTTAATATATCATTATAAAATTAAAAAAAAAACCGCGTATAGAAAAGCCTAGAAACTACTTTAAAATAGAAAAGCCTAGAAAATGACGTAATTCGACTAATAATATTAAATTAGCGTATTAACATTATCAGATGTCAAAACTTTCTTTGATTTTTAAATAAATACGCAAAAATAACGAACTTAACTGATTTTGAAAAATTTAATGTTACTTTTCAGCTAAAATAATCAAAAAAATATATATTTCTGTTGTTTCATATGTAATATGATCATTCTTAGAACATTTTCAAAGCAAAAAAACTTTACTTAAATCGAATGTGAACTGATACAAGGATTATTAAAGTCAAACAACAAAATCGCTAAATACAATGTTTTTTAAAAAAATAAATTACATACAAAGTTTTTTAAAAAATAAGGAGGAGGAGGGTTAAATGGAAATTAAATATATCATTAAAGTTATAGATATATTTAACAAATATTGAAAGTTCACAAAGAGAATTTCACAAAACTGATAAGGTTAATTACATACAAAAATAAAACTAGAGTGTGATTTGGTAACGCATTTAAAGTTACGTGCGTCATTGCTTCAAAATGAAAATAAAAATTCACGCTAAAACAAATATAGTGCTAAATATGCCAAGTTTGAAAATATATTTGATAACATAACCGAAGGTAAAGAAAATAGTTTTTTGATTTTCATACGCATAAAAGGTTGAAGTTTTAATAACTTAAGTTACTTGTCAAAATTTTGGTGAGTCAAAAACGTTTCCTCGCCGTTTGTTCTGGCAGTCACGTTATATCAATATTTCATTTTTTAACAAATCTTTACCACTTCTAGCTACCAAACGCTTGATTGTGAGAAGATGACGTTCAACAATTCTATTTCCAGATGGTCTGTAAGCGCAACGAAACAGGATGGACACTCCCATTCTGCTTCCGACAACAGAAGCCAAATCACACTTTATCGTAATACATGTGAATCCCCATTTTATAGCTAGATTGAATCCTTTTATCACGGCTTCTAACTGGGCAGTGCGTACCTAAAACAAAGTATGTTTCGTTAACGTAGTTGATGTTAGGTTTGTTTCATATATAAAGAAAGGCAAGCATACTTTTATTTGAAAAGTTGGTTATAATATAGGGGAAAGTGGGGCAACATGGCGAACGTTTTGAAAGCCCTGAGTTGTTGCAAAACTATAAGTCGTGAAGCCATAATACTTTCTCAGTATGTTTATGTTATTAAATTCTTTCATTGCCTGCATGAATTTTCAGTTTGCAAATATAACAATTTGAAATAAATATTAAAATAAAATGTTCATAAATTTGTCATCTGGTCACGTGACCGGGGCAAGATGACTTATTATGTAATTTTCACTTCCAATTTTATAAAATTTTTAAAACTACCAATAACTCTAACTAAAGTAACAAAAAATAAACACAAATTGCAAAAAACTACTTCTAAAGAAGTTAAACTTGAAGGGCACCATCCATTATGAGAAACCGAAAGTGAGGAATTTTTTTTAGGCGCTAAATGTAAACTTATGTGTATAAAATTGCGTTAATAATATTTCAAAAAGCCAATTAGTGTTTTAAAATACAAGATGTAAATATAGTTTCGTTTTCACCCAATTTTAAGATTTTTTGTTGTGTTGATTTATAAGAAAACTCATCTTGCCCTATTCGCCATGTTGCCCCGCTTTCCCCTATATATATATTTTTTCATATACATTTGCCGTTAGTTAAAATAACAAAAAGAAATTACAATTAAATAAAAACCTGGCAGGAGCAAGAAAAAGACAAAATGTCTTAACGCTGAGCCCCCGTTACATTGGTGTTTTGTAAACGTTTGAAATATTTACATGCGAAATAATCAATAAAATAGTATATACACAAAAAAACTTTCAAAATGAAAAATAGAAACATTTAACAACAATACTTCAACGGAATAATTGAAGTAATAAAATGAAACAAAAGATAGATAGCCAAGAAATTATCAATCCATAAAAATTGCGTTGTGTTTTATTGTAAATAATGAAATATAACTAAATATTTATTACTAATTATTTAATATCAACAAAAGCACAACAAAAACAAAATTAAAAAGTTTAAGAAATGTAGTAATCAAAGTTTAAAAAATGTAGCAGATTTAAAATAATTTTTTGATTCAAACAGTTAAATTATTTTCAAAATCTAATTATGGATTTATATGGTTATGGGAATAACAAAGTTATTTTCTAAAAATTTAGTAGGATGTTTATGAGAAACTTCATTAAAGTAAGATTGAAATATTAAACCACGCTTTGCTTTAAACATAAATAGCATCACTCGGCCAATGTTAACTTTATAAATATTTAAAGTTCCAAGTTCACGCAAGAGAGGCTCGCAACATGCATTTCTGTTTGCCCCAAATATTATTCTGCAAGCATGTTTTTGTTTAGTATAAATTTTTTTAGTTGTGTGTGATTTGTATTACCCCAGGCAGAGTTAAAGTAAGAAAGATAACTGTGTATAAACAAAAATTATAACTTTTTTAGTGATGCATTATTAAGAAAATGTTTTGTTTTATATAACATGGAAATACTTTTTGATAACTTACTTTCAATATATTTAATATGAAATTTCCATGTCAATTTTTCATCTAAAATCACTTCTAGGAAGTTTGTTGTCGATTCCCTTTTAATTATTATGTTATTGATTAAAATATTAGGTAATTTAACAGGAATATTATTGGCTTTACTGGGTTTATAGAATAAGATAAATTTTCTTCGTTTTCTCTACATTTAATGAAAGTCGGTTACTAATAAACCAATCGTTTATCTTATCTAGTTTTTCATTAAATATTTTAAAAAAGAATATTAATATCTTTATGAGAATAAAATAAATTAGAGTCATCTGCAAGTAAAATAGTATTTAACTTTTTTGATAATAAATATAAGTCATTTATATAAATTAAAAATAGTAATGGTCCTAAAATAAAACCTTGAGGTAACCCACCAGTTATTATTTAACACCGCAATATAAAATTTAAAAAAAAAAAAATTTAGTTTTTCAAAATGTCAATTTTTAAGTTCGCGGCCATCTTATTTCATTAAACTAATGTCAGATTTAGTAATAGTAATAGTAATATATTTAAATAAGTCTTTATAGATTACATGACAAATAAATAAAAAAAACAATCCAATAAACAGATTAAAAAACAAAAGCATTTTTTTTATTTTTTTTTATTATTATTATTTATTTATTTTTTTTTATTTATTTTATTTATAAAAAAAAAAAAAAAAAAAAAAAAAAAAAAAGATTTTAATCTCGATGTATTTAAACTTTATGCTATATGGCGCCAAGAGAAATTGGTGAGTTGTTTTTAACAATACAGTCAAGTAACAATATTTTAGAGAACTATATTATAAATGTAGAGGAAATCTGCTCACATCCAAGGGATGTAATCATCTATAGGTTTTCTCAATTTAAGGAGGCGGAAGTTTTCAAATTAAGAGTGGAATTATTTCAAGAAATATTGGAACGTTTTGACATAGAGCAGTTCTCACTGCTAAACATTATTCTAGACGCGGAAGATCCCGTTAAAAAAAATCTGAGAAAACGGTATAAGATATTAACATGTCTTGATGATATTTATCTGATGTCGATTTCTTTAGCGGAAAATCAACTTCATAAAGACTTTATTAAATTGATTTCTAACTCCAAACAAGCTAGTCAACAAATGTATCAACCGACAGATATAAATATGGCATTGATTTTAAAAGAAGTTATTGATCGGCTAAAAGCATTACAATTAGAAAATAAAAAAATTATGGCAGATTTGCATTTATTACAGGTAAAATACGACGAACTACAAAAAACAAATAACGAAATCGTGAAAAATCAATGTGCGTCACAATTTAACAACACAAGTAATTGTGAACCTCATAAATCGCAAGAAAATATAAAATCTATTGTTTCAAATTCAATAAAATATCATTCCCCAAATCAAAGAAATACGCTGGAAGAAGTTACTGCACACTCCAGCACAGAGATTTCAAGTTTATATACCGATAGAAAAAATAAAATTAGAGATTCCTACGCTACCGTGGTTAAAATGCAAAACCCGGAACAAAATAACCGGAAACCAGAAAAAGAAAAAGACTGTGTAACAGACTATCAAGAATTCAAAGTGGTAGGAAAAAATAATAAAGTTAATAAGAGCCATATGGATAAGCAAAAAAAAGAACCCGTTTTCGGAAACAAAGTCGCTAGCAACAGAAGCTCGATTGCGGGCAAACGTATTATTCGAGAATCATATATATTTGTAGGCGGAGTTTGTAATTCCATATCCGAAGAAGATCTATCAAACTACATGAATAAAGAAATAGGTATTACTCCTTTAGACATAAAGCTTAATAGAGAAAACATGTACAACCGCTCTTTCAAAGTAAAAAATAATAGTACTGAAAAAGGAATGGTACTTAAACCCGATGTTTGGGATAACAACATTATTGTTAAACCGTTTAGAATGCGGCGAGAAGCACTAACAATCGAAAAACCACATCAAAATACCAAAAATCATTTGCCACAATTCTTACACCACTCTTCAGCATTTATGCAACAATAAAAATTGAAATCATAATGGGAGAAAAAGAATCAAATGTAACTAACACAAATATTACGCTATGTGCATATAACTGTCAAAGCTTTAAATCGAATTCATATTATATTTCTAAGTTGTTAAAGTCTTTCGATATTATTTTTATATCAGAACATTGGCTTTTAAATATTGAGAGTTTTTTGTTAAATAACATTGCATTACTAACACACAAAGTTTTTTTTCATGCGGCAGAAAAAAATACACACGGTAGACCATATGGAGGAAATGCTTTTATGGTACGAAAAAAATTGTCGTCTTTTTACATAATACATGAAGATGAAAACATTCTTGCTATTAAAGGCACACTTAACAATCGTAACTTAATTTTTATTGGTGTTTACCTTTCATCTTGTCGTAATAATAACGAATCATACGCAAAATACTCTTCTCAGTTACAAACAATCACTTCAATAATGAACAACTATGAGGATGAAGGAGAATGTATTATTTCCGGAGACTTTCAGTCATTTCCATATAAAATATATGATTCAGAGCTTCGTAAAAACAAAACTAGGAACAATTTCTCAAAACATCTCACTAATTTTATTGAATCAAATCAGCTCGCTTTTGTCGAGATAATCAACGGTGCTGGGCCTACTTATACCTATCAACATAAAACTCTTTCTAATTCTTCTTACATTGACCATATTGCATCCTATAAACAGACAGAACTATGTTTTACAAACTGTCAAGTTATGCAATCTTCACCGCTTAACCTTAGTGATCACCTTCCGGTGTCTACGAATATTAACTTTGAAGGTAACGGCTTATCACACGAAATAAATAATATAATGCAAAAATATAATTCAATACCAAAACATGCATGGAATAACGAAAGGTTTATTGACTTTTATAATCTCAATCTATCAAAAGCATTTACTAGTTACGCATTTAAGGAAGATAAAATAGAAGAAGAAATTCAAAAAACATGCTTATATATAAAAAATGCAGCTCTCTTGGCAGTTAAACAATGTTTCGGACAAAAAGAATTTTATAAGTACTCGAAACCTTGGTGGACACCTGAGCTTAAAAAAATTAAAGATAATCTCTCCTTTCACTTTAGACAATGGCAAAAATCAGGTTATAATAAGTCAACAGAATGTATATCCTACAAAAGATTTATTTATTCCCGAAAAAACTTTCGTAAAGCTGTAAAAGCGGCACATAACAAAAAAATTCACGAAAAAACTAAAAATATAGAACACTTACGCAATACAAATCCTCAAAGGTTTTGGGGTAATATTCGAAAAATCAAAAAAAATACCAACAATCGACTCTTTACAATTAATAAATTGCAGAACAAAAACGAAATCGTCGAAGAATTTAGTCATCATTTCCAAAAACTACTTAATACACCGCAATATACAAATAACGAGTTCAATCCTCTCCAAATTCCACATTTAAGTAAAGAGCCTAATTCAAAAGTTATCTCGACAGCTGATATTGAAAAATGTATTTTAAAGCTTAAAAATAATAAATCTTACGATTGCTATGAAATCAGTGCTGAACATCTTAAAAACTCTCACAACAAGAATCTTCTTATTTTACTTTCGTCGTTTTATAACAATATGTTAACAAATGGAAAGGTTCCACACGGTTTATCAACCGCCAAAATTATCCCATTAGTCAAGTCTTATAAAACATCACTAGAAAATCCAAATAACTATCGAGGAATCAGCATTATACCAATTTTTACAAAACTTCTCGAATATCTTATCATACACATATGTCCAGATATAACAGAAAGTCATTCCCATCAATTCGGTTTTAAAGAAAACAGCTCTACCCTCTACGCAGAATTTCTTCTGAGTGAAACAATAAAGCACTATAATCATAATAACTCACCGCTATATATATGCAGTCTAGACGCCAACAAAGCTTTTGACAGTTGTAATTGGGAATTACTATTCGAGAAACTCTATTACCAGAAAAAAATCCCATTATCTATAGTTCATACAATATTATCACTATATCAAACAGGAACTTCTAATATATCATATCTTGGATGTACATCAAACAAATTTAGGCTGTCTCAGGGAGTGCGTCAAGGATCCATACTGTCGCCTCATCTCTACAATATCTACACAGAGAACCTTCTAGAGAAAATTGTTTCAGAATCAAAAGTTGGAACTTCAATAAATGGTGTATACACAGGTATCATTGCATATGCTGATGATATAGTTTTACAAAGTTCCACTATATCTGGTCTTCAGAGCCTTATTAACATTGTTCAAAAGTATGGACTATCGAACTTTATTAAACTGAATACAGAAAAAACTGAATTTCTAATATCTGGAATAAGTTCGATTTTAATTAACGTTATTTATATTAACGGTGATCCTATCAAGCCTCAAAACAATCTAAAACATCTTGGTTTCCTTTGGGATAATAAGAACAAAAAAATGACAGCAACACTCCAAAAACAAAATATAACTGAACGTGTAACGCAATTTTTATCTGTTGCAAAAGGTCTTATAAGAAATGGACTTCGCTTTTGCCAGCCTGCTACCATAGTTCATTTATTTAATTCTTTAGCTGTTCCAACGTTGTTATACGGATTAGAACTGTGTGGAAGCAGCAATAAGTTTCTAAATAGCATTGATATAGCTGGACGATCTGTCTTAAAATCCTTCTTTAATATTTCAAAGCAAAGTAGAAATTATCTACATTCTTATTTCAAAGTAGACGCTGTGTCAGACATTCTTTTTCGCAACAAGTTAAATCTATTTATCAGGCTTTTAAACAACCCCATATGTTACTCGATTATACGGACTCAGATGCCTTTAATGAATCAACGATCATTTGTGGGTGAGGTAATGATAATGTGTAAGAAAGCTGATATAAACATGCTCCAATTTATGATCGAGGGTAAGAAAATTATAATTGCACGCCCTCAGGAAGCATTGGAGGCCAATGTTGCGGCGATCTTAAAACAATCGTTCCAACACTGGAATTTAAAGGAACAAAGAGAAGTATTTAGAACGCTGATGGAGGAAAACATTCCAAGAACGATGCAAGAAAATACTTAAATGTGCTTTGTTTTTTTTTAATACTTTTACCTATAGTTTATGTAATTATTGGGTGTTTAAAAGAATAAATATTATTATTATTATTTTTTTTTTTTAAATCATTTTGAAGAATCAGACAGACTTGCAACAGTTTAGTGTCATCAGCATAGATTTTACAAACTGATTTTAAATTATCCGTTAAGTCATTTATGTAGATGGTGAATAATGTTGGACCAAGTACAGACCCTTGTGGAACTCCGCTTAAAACATTGGTCCAGTCGCTAGAGTGTTTACCTAAAACTGTTCGTTGTTTTCTGCTAGTCAAAAATGGCTCAATCCATTTGCCAACATTACCATTGATCCCATATGCTTTCATCAAAAAACTTTGATGAAACTTTATTAAACGCTTTTGCAAAGTCCAAAAATGCAATATCGACAAAATTTCTTTTGCTTAACGCAATTGTAATGTAGTCGACGCTTTCCAATAAGTTAGACGTTTATGTCTTTTTGGACATAAATCCATGTTGATTGTTTGAGATGCAGCTCGTTTTTTTCAAGATATTTAGTTATCTGTTCCTTGATAATCTTTTCCATTACTTTACATGGAACTGAAGTGATAGACACTGGTCTGTAATTAGCGGCATCAAGACGACTCTCTTTTTTAAACAACGGTGTAACATGCGACTGCTTCCAGGCTGAAGGTGTTGAGCCTTCAGACAGTGCTTTATTGTAAATTAATGTTAAAGGGTAAGTCATTTGAGCTGCACATTCTTTAAGTACCTTTAGACTAATGTTATCAACACCAATAGATTTATTCGGGTTCAATCCATTCAAATAGGCTAGCGTTGCTTCAAAGCTTATTATTACATCGCCTAAGTCTTCTTGATTATGTCTTCTCTCAAAAACCGGTAACTGATCATTTATGCTATTATCAACAAAAACTAATTTAAAGTGTTCGTTAAGTCTGTTTGCGATATGTATTGCCTCTGTTAACGTTTCACCTTTTGCATCTGATAAAGCCCCAATAGATACATGAACGTTCTCTTGCGCTTTAGCATAAGCATACATTCTTTTTGGATTATTTTTATCTGATACCAGTTGGGCTTCAAATACTTGAACACGATGTGTACATGCTTTCTGAACTTGGCTTCTTAGTTTCTTATATTCACAAATGAGGGTCGGCACTTGCCCCCCCCCCCCCTATATTTTCTTAATATAGAAAAAAAATTTCTTGTTTGTAACGTTCTTCATGCCATAAAGTTTGCTACTAAATTTTTCTGTAAAAAATATCTTTTAGTGATACTTCGTTACAGTTTCGGAAAAAACCTAATTAAGTTTTTTCCGAAATAATTAATTGCTTATTTGTATGAAAAACACGATATTTTTCAATCTTAGCATGTTTCGTAGTTTACACACTACATTTTCAAAACGGTGCTGACAAGTTCTTTTTTCCACGGACATATAATTTTTTTCTTCTCTTTAATTTATATCTTACATATCTTGATTTTTACATAATAGATAACAGGAAAAAAAGCAGTAACAAAAAATGTTTTGCACCCCCTAAGAAAATTTTCTGCGGGCGCCTATGTACATATATATATATATATATATATATATATATATATATATATATATATATATATATATATATATATATATATATATATATATATATATATATATATATATATATATATATATATATATATATATATATATATATATATATATATATATATATATATATATATATATATATATATAGAGAGAGAGAGAGAGAGAGAGAGAGAGAGAGAGAGAGAGAGTTAAAACTCGTTAAAAACCTTTTAAATATAATATAAGTGTAAATAGGATCTTTGATGAGATAATGTTAGTTTGAAATATTTATTTATATAAATATATAAATATAAATAATAAAAAGCAACTATATATTATATTCAGTTACTATGTAGTTAATTCAGAGCGATTGACTTCGAACCAATAATATATTGTAATATAATAGAATTATAGGTAATGAATATTAATATGAAAGTATATAAGATATATGATAGAAGAAGAAAAAAAGAAAAGAAAATAAAAAAAAAAAAAGAGATTAATTGAAAGAAAATATGTTTTGGCCATATACCAAAAGTTATTACATATAAAAAAAAGATTTCTTAATTAAAATTTTTATAAATAGCTGAAATATTTATATAAATGTGTAACTATCGAGCATACTTAATTTTATACAATAGTTATATGACGTAACAAAAGATCTTTTTTTCCATTCAAATTTTATCCAAGTAATATGAAATATTTTTTGTACTATTTTCAACTAGACTTATATTCATCAATAAATTTTAAATTTCATAGTAAAATATTTCAGCGTTCGAAAATTATGACCATATAAAGTTGAAACCCCCCTCAATTTGAGGGAGTCACAAATTTTATATTGTTATAATTTTTGAACACTGAGAGATAATACTATGAAATTTAAAATTTATTGATGAATATAAGTCTAGTTGAAAAAGGTACAAAAAATATTTCATCAACTTGTTGCTCTCACGTTTGGTGCAAGGGGAGCATAAGTATAAACATATAAATGTTTGGAGTTTGCTCCATGTCTGGAAGTTAGTTTATATATATATATATATATATATATATATATATATATATATATATATATATATATATATATATATATATATATATATATATATATATATATATATATATATATGTATATATATATATATATATATATATATACACATGTAATATATATATATATATATATATATATATATATATATATATATATATATATATATATATATATATATATATATATATATATATATATATATATATACACACACACATGTAATATATATATATATATATATGTATATATATATATATATATATATATATATATATATATATATATATACATGTAATATATATATATATATATATATATATATATATATATATATATATATATATATATATATATATATATATATATATATATATATATTAGTTATATAGTATTTAGAAGTAGTAGTTATATAGAAGTTAGTTTAATTATACATTATATATTATTATTATATATAAATATTTAAATATACACATGAAATTCAATTTAAATATAACATTCAAGCAATGGATTAAAGTAGATCGTGAATCTTTGCAATTGTATTATATAAAAATCTTTGCAATTATATTGCAAATTTATATTTGAGCTTCAATGCTGGCAGGATCAGTGGAGCTAGAGTCAGGCCATTCAGTATGATAAGCACGGAAATCAACAATGACAATGGTATTGACGGAAGGATAAAGAGAAAGGATTCCGTCAATTTGATCAGAAATAACTTCAGAAATTATGCAGTCTTGGGAAGAAGGAGAACAATAAAGTACAAAGAGAAGGGTAATTGAGTGCAGAGGAGCGAAAGCACATAAACGCATAATCAGAGGATTCTAATGTTGCTACAAATAGCCAAGTTGATACATATGCCCAGGCAAAGGTATGCAACTACTGCAACCTTTACAAATCAAAAGATAATATCCATCACTGAAATCCGATTATGAAACAACTGAAATCAAATAGTCTTCTTTCTATCATAACCAAGGTTTTTGAATCTTTAATTAACAAGCGCTTAACCTCTCATCTTGAATCTAATAACTTACTTTCTGATCATCAATATGGATTTCGATCTTCTTGTTCTACAGCTGATTTGCTAAAAGTAATAACTAATAGATTTTATTGTGCATTAGATAGAGGTAGATAGGTTAAGGCTATTGCACTTGACATTTCTAAAGCGTTTGATAAAGTTTGGCCTGCTGGTCTTTTCCATGATCTTTCTTCTTACGGTGTATCTGGTAACACCTTTAAGATTATTGAGTCCTTCCTTTCCAATCGTAGTATAAAAATTGTCCTCGATGTACAGCACTCTTCTTCATATCCTGTAACTTTAAGGGTTCCTTAAGGTTCAATTCTTGGTCCTATACTCTTTTTAATTTACATTAACGATCTTCCAGATATTCTCACATCTAAGGTAACATGTTCGCTGACAACACTATCATTTATTCTTGTCATGATAAGAAGCTAACACTCTTTGATTGCTTGGAGGGGGCATCTGAGCTTGAAAAAGATCTCACTTCTGCTACAGCATGGGGTTTACAGTTGCTGGTGAACTTTAATTCAGATAAAACTCAATTTTTTTTGGCCAAATAATTATTTCAACAATTTAGATCTTCCTATATTTATGAACGGTAATGTACTAGATGAGTCATCTACCCTTTATCTTCTAGGATTAACTTTTACTTCTGATCTTTCTTGGAAACTGTGTATCAAATCCATTGCAAAATTAGAATTTGCTAAGGTTGCATCTCTTTATTGAGCTCGACACTTTTTTATTCCAGATTCTATTCTCTATCTCTATAAATCTCAAATTCGTCCATGTATAGAATACTGTTGCCATATCTGGGGCGGATCTTCTGATAATGCCCTTTCTATTTTAAACAAGGTGCAAAAACGCATTATAAACATAGTTGGACATACTCTTGAAGCTAAACCATTGTCAATCTCCAACCATTGTCACACCATCGTGTCGGTGTGACTCTAGTTTTTTCCTCGGACATCAGTTCTTCGGAATTTGCTTCCTTCATCTTGCTTCCCTGATTCATATAATTTGCAATCTTTTAAGTTGTCTGTCAATCGTTATCTTGCTCTCAAATTTAATTTTTTCTCTCCCAGTAACTTCCAACTCTTGTAGTGGTTGCTCGCAACCTTGTTAGAAGCGAAGATGTAAAAAAAAAAAAAAATACCAGTAGACGACTTCATAGATGAATTAATTATAAAAGTATCTTTTTATCTAAGCATGATTATATTGCCAAAAACCAAAACAACTATTTACTGTTATTGAAAAATGAATTTAATTCAAATGAGTTGATCATTATAAATCAGTTGATGGATTTTTCTAAAAAACTATTCGTTTGTTGTCCAAGATGCTGTTCAAGGGTTTTACTGGGAAAAC